CCTTTGAATTTTCTTTAGCAGTTTTCTTTTGCATTCTAGACATGCCTGGCTGAGGCCTTTCCTATTTCTTTCAATGCACTTTCTCAGTTCCACCCCTGTTGTTGTACACAAAGAAACTAGTGTCTTACTTCACAGAACAATAACAGATAACTAGAGTAAAATTCTATAATTTCCCATCCATGCTTCCATTTTTATTAAATATTAAGTAGTATTGAGAACTTACTAACCACCAATTACTGTGTACCCCAACTACATGATTTCATTTTTTAGTCTGATAGATAGATTATACATTATTTTACTTGCATTGATCATTGACTCAAAGAATGACTGGGTAGTAAAAATATTGATAGCATCTAATTCACCCCCTCTTCCTATAAACGAGGACAATAAAATGGAAAATATGCTTAAGGTTCAATGAGAAGCCACCGACAAAAGTCCAAATTAAAACCCAACTTTCATTATCATTACTCTTTGTTAAGGAAATTGGTTTGATTGCCCATTGGGTCCATTTATCTATCTGCATAGCATTAGAAATCTGTTCCCAGAGTCCCTGGAATGATTTTCATCCTGAAAAGCAATGGAATAACTAAGAGGATGCTGCCATCCTTTGCTTTTAGAGATGGTAAAACAGAGATCTAATCAGGATGAAAACTTTAGAAGGTAGTCTACGAAAAAAAGGGCCCATGTTTCTAAATCTTCATCTCATCTCCTGAAATCCTAAGACCACTGTACCTTAATGCAAGCTTGCTAAGCAGCTGCTGGGCATGCTCAAACTTCTTGCTAACCAAGCACAAAATATAAGCATGAGCAGACTTAGAGCTGTTGTTGTGTACCATCAGAAGAAATAGGCATGCTTTTGCAGAAAGAAAATATCACAAGGAGGGTAGCAAGGCTCTGGGTGAAGAGATTTGACCACCCCTCTCTGGATAATGGCTTTGCATGGCTATCCATGATCATGGATCTCACCCACTGAGCCACACATCCTCCAAGATGAGATGACTCTCTCTTCCGACACAGCTATGCAAAGGATGTGTGCATAGAAGATTCTCTACCCACGAGAGATGGCAACTATTGTCCTGTGGCTGCAGACCTTTTAAATGTTGAGTGGCATTTCCCAGATAATAGAACCAAAGTCCCTAGACCTCTGACACATAAAATTTTGTTCTCCAGTTTTTTTTTTTTTTTTTTTTTTTTNGGTCTGGCTCTGTCATCCAGGATGGAGTGCAGTGGTGTGACTTTGTTCATTGCAACGTCCGCCTCCTGGGCTCAAGCCATCCTCCTACCTCAGCCTCCTCCAGAGAAGCAGGGACTACAGGCACATGCCACCATGCCCAGCTAATTTTTGAATGTTTTGTAGAGACAAGGTTTGACTATTCTTCCCAGGCTGGTCTTGAACTCCTGAGGTCAGGCAATCTGCCCACCTCAAACTCCCAAAGTGCCAGAATTACAGGCCTGGGCTACCATGCTCAGCCCCAAATTTCATTATAAAAACATTCAAACAGACAAGTTGAAAGGACAACACAATGAACACTTACCTACCTACCATTAAATTCAATAAGCATTGATATTTGCAATACTGCTTTCTCTATCTTTATTATGTTTTAATACCTGAAGATTTCCCTGAAGGAAATCCTATGAAAGAAGCTTACTTGGATGCCATAAAAGACTGTCCCTCCTTTAACCTTCCCCACCAATCTTTGTTTGTCTTAATGGGAAAGAAGTTTAAGCCCTTAGCTTTTGCCTTAAACTCACAAGACATTCAGCTTACAGACTTAGTTCTACCCCAATTCTTGGTGACTGCCTTGATATTTAAAGTTTTTCCTGTGCCAGTTTCCCATATCCAGGTCTTCATGATTGCCCTTCAGTATGCCTTATCCAGACTAGTAAACTTTGCCACTGCCAAATTCTTTACAAAGATCTTGCCTGTGCCTTACAAATCCATACAGCAAAATTCCCTACTAAACTGGAGCTAGTGTGAACCACAGGACCTAATAATGCACCCTTCGTAGAAGACTCAAGCATGTTATTCATTAGGGCCTTATTTTTATCAATCCAGAATAAAGCCTGCACTTATGGACCTAATAAAAGGTGTTTACATCTAAACACTTTTTAATCTTTTTTGTTCCCTGGGTGCTCTCAGGTGATTCCTACTATTCTTTATTTCCATCTTGCCAGTACATAAGAAGCAGTACAGAAGGGTGAAGATCAACGTCTTTACTTTCAGATAACTAAGCTCTTCAGCATAGCAGCTGTGTAATTTTGTCAGCAAGTTCCTTCATTTCTTCATGTAAGATGGAGAAAATGATGGTACCCGTTTTTGAGGGCTAAAGTTAATATTAATGAGATAATATATGCAAAGTTCTGGCAAAGTGATAAGTAAGTGCTAAGTCTTTTAATGAGTACTAGGTACTGATATTACTATTATCACTGTTTTAAGTGTTGTTTCAATGCAGCTCTGTGGAATACAAACACAAAATAAACTTCTTACTAGACTGCCAGCAATAGAAAATTACTGGCTCAGGTGGGTAAGTAGGAGGGGCTAAGTATTGTAGAATCATCAGTAACAACAGAATAATGTATTTTAGCATTATATAAAATAGAGGTAGAAATTAAATAGAAAAATAGCTAACTTTAACTGAATTCCTTTTACTTATCTATTGCAAATTAACCTTCTGGAGTTGAGAAAGAACTATCTAATATACATTAAATTTCTATCTAAGGAAGAAATTGTTCCACTATTTGCCCATTAAAACTGGAATGCGACATTTATATATTTCCTGAGGAATGTTCTTATTAATCTCCCCTTCACAATTAACAATACAGCTGAGAGAACAATCATCATTCATGAGCCCCCTCAGTGGGGAAGTGTTAATTCTATGCATATTAGATGTGTTCAGGAACCTGCATATTTTGTCAATAGCCCTTGATGGAAGTGGGGATGGGACAATGATTATTTTCTAATGTCATGAGTTAAAGGTACAATGATGTCCAGGTGATCTTAATGATAAGAATAAATGGCCATCATTTTTTTGTTTGATTAATGAAGTAATGATACAAAGAAGCCAATTTATCATCTATAATATTGACCTTTCCCTTTTCCTCTCAATTCCAAAGGCATTCTGATTGTTGATTTTCCTGTCCACTCAACTTTGCCTACATACATTTATGAATACCTCCTCAACCTTTACTGCATTGCTATTTACAGTGCTATTTACATTGCTTAGTCAGTACTGGGTATACAAATGAGAGTATGACATATCCTGTGCCCTAAATATAAGTATTCTGGAGAAACAGGAAGAGCCCAGGGTGATTTCTGCATTATTTCTGTGAAGATGAAATGATATGATGGACAAAATGCATCTAGCACTGGGTCTGCTCTGGGTAACTTATTTCTATGTCTCCTGCTTCTTCTAGATTCTTACCTCCTTCTTCTAGATTCTAATCTCCCTCTGTGCTTAACTTTTTAAAAACTTTAAACTACGATCTTTTTTCATTCCCTGTTCTCCACTGCACACATGGTCTCTCTCTCATCAAGGTCTCTCTGATACTGCATATTTTGTAGTTGATTCTCAGTAATAATTCTAGTAAAATGTATCTGCTGAACACAGTGCTTTCCATTAGGACTTTTGAAGTCCACCACTTCAGTAGAATCTTTTCAGACTTTACCAGTCAACTTGCTTTCTCTGTCTTCTACTTACTTCTTTTCTGAGGCACGCATGTGAGCAGTGCCTGTATCTGACTCATTTCTATACCACCGGTGCTTGACACAGAGCACAAATGTGCTCTCATTCTGCCGCTCTTATCCCCCCTTCCCTTGAAGGCCAAATGCCTTTTTCTCTACGAATGTCACAAACAAAAAAGCTGAATCTAAGGATCTAGGATAATGCATCTGTCAGGGGAACTAGATATAGCAGAAAATAAAAATGAGATAGACTAGACAAGAAAAATGTGGGATTGAAGGCATCCCGCTGAGGGCTCTGGCTTTGAACTTGGAACAGGCTTTATATACCAACTCCAGAAATTACTTTCTTTGTAATCTTTGGCAAATTGCATCAGCCTCTGTTTCTTCATTTGAAAATAAAGACAATAGCAGTTGCTAATATATGAGGTTGTTGTACGGGTTAACTATAATAATGCATGAAAGCACTTAGCTCAGTATTTGACCCATAACAAGGGTTCAATAAATGAATACTATTATTATTATCAACATTATGAGAAGGTAACCACATATTCGTGTAAAACAGAATAAATTAGGCAACTAAAAATGTCAAAGTTTAGAATTTCTTCTACTCTAATAAAGAGAAACCCTTTATATTATAATGTTTTCAGAAAAAGATATATTTTTCTTCATTTTTTCTAGAAAACCATCTTTTAATACAAAACCATGCTTTCAGTACAGAGTAAAGTTTAAAAGAAAAACTGTCTTATTCTACAAAATTATCCTCATCCAAATATCAGAGTATCACAATTATTTTCTGACACAGAGGTCTATTTGAGTATAAATTTCCTATTAATAAACATGAGATAACTACTTTATTATTTGCAAGTCTGATTGCTCCTTGGAAGGCGAAAGGTCACAATAAGCTTTCCAGTCATCAGAGGGCCATGATCCCATTCAGGCAGCTCAGAAGCAATTTTTAAAACACAATATCTGCCACATTCAAACAATTATTTGGCATTCACAATGTTTTTTCCATTTTAAAGAAAATCTGCGTCTCAGCTATTTTGACATTGTTTATCTCTATTCTTTAAAGAAAGCAGCTTTAGGATCTGGAAGCTAATATTGGAAGATAATTCAGAAAAGCATAGTCTTAGCTGAGGTTAAGTCCCTTTGTAAGCATGCTACCTTAAGCTCTTGAATGTCTAGTGGACAGGAGGCTTAACTGTTTCTTAGTAGAAATGAAGAAAGAGTAAGAAAAATAGCACAATATTTTCATCCAATGAAAAGTAACAGCTATTTTGTTCAGGAAAAGGTATATTTTGAATTGGGGACAACAGACCTGAGTCCATAAAGGACGGTGCCATCAGGATGCAGGCGGATCATGCGGTTCTTAACAGTCACTCCGTGCACAAATGACTTCTTATCGTTCAGGAAATAGGTATCAGGCACCCAGAGCTGGTCTGCTACCCTGTTGTCCAGAGTCAAGTTTAAAGGTATTACATTATAGGACAGCCTCTTATCTCTCCAGGCTTGCTGAAAGTACATTGTCAAGGTATAATCCTGTAAATGTGAGAAAAAAGATACGGTTAGTTCATACCCAAGCAGATTTGGGGGGGGGTAAGCAAACATCTCAGTATTAATAAGAAAATAAATTATTTTTTTTATTTTTATTTTTTAATTTTTTGAGACAGGGTCTCACACTGACACCTAGGCTGGAGTACACTGGCACGATCTTGGCTCACTGCAGCCTCCCACTCCTGGGTTAAAGCAATTCTCCTGCCTCAGCCTCTCAAGTAGCTGGGATTACAAGAGTGTGCCACCACGCCTGGCTAATTTTTTGTATTGTTAGTAGAGATGGGTTTTCCCCTTGTTGGCCATTCTGATCTCAAACTCTTGACCTCAGGTGATCCACCCGCCTCAGCCTTCCAAAGTGCTGGGATTACAGGCATGAGTCACCACACACAGCCAAGAAAACAAATTTATATATGTAGCCACACAGTATAAACATATGCTATTCACATATATAGACAATTACTAATTTATTAAACCCATTCTTACCCAGTACCTACCATGGGCCAAGCCCAATGGTAGGCACTATGAACACATAAGTGAAGAGAATATATTCACAAGAAATTTATACATTTCTGAGGAAGAAAGATATTAAGGAATAATTACCCAATGATTAATTTGTGCTTTCCAAAGTGGAGTATGCAGGACTCTTTTAGGTGAGTTATAAATAGAATTTTAAAAATAGTTATGTATTTGTTTCTATGCACACTAAAAACATTAACTAGCTCATCCAAACCTAACAATTCATTAATTCATTCTTCCATCCATTCATTCATTCATTCATTAAATATATAATGTGTATCCAGCATTTGACAGGAACCATTGAGGTGCTGGGATGACAGATTAAATGTCTGCTCTCAGGGAATTTAAAAACAAAGCATAGATAAATCAACAGAATCATGTCAAATAATGCTACATCTTATGAAGCAAATAAATCAAGGTGCAAAATATCTAACTGGAATGATGATGAAAAGCTTCTCTTAGGAGTTGGCATTGTGCAGAGACCAGAGAAGGAGCCCAGACCACTGGTTCTTAGGAAAAGAACATGCTGAGCAGACGGGAATCTGCAGAGGTCCTAATATAAATAGACAGGCTGGACATGTTTGAAGAACCAGTAAGAGCTGCTTGTTTGAGCGAGTGATACACAGGGAAAGTAGAAATACAGCAGTCAAGAATATCAGCTCCCTGAAACTTTAGAAGGTTATGCATATTTAAAATAGATTGTTACAAAGTGACTAACTTATCATGGTAGTAATTGCAAGAGTTTGTAAGTGAGAATTGTAATCAGTCTTGTCTAATCAAGGTGGGTTTCCCAGAAAAGGTGACATTTACACTGAGGCTAATGTAAGTTTCTCAACTATCTAAATAATATTAACTCAGTGTGTTTATCATGAGAATTTCAATCCCAGCATTATGGACAAGCAGGCTGTGCTCTAACGTTTAGACACAGTGGGATAGCTGCTGTAAAGTGAGCACTGCCCTTGAAGTACCAATTCTATCATTTCCCAATTCAGCTTCCAGGAGATAAATGTACATAACTTCTTTTAGTTTCAGTTCCATTAAATATAAACGGGGATTTTAATACATGCCTGATCTAATCAGAAAGTTATTATGAAAATTAAATGTACAACTCAAATGCAATTTGTAAACTACAAAAAGCTATATACTATGAATGAAGCATTTATAAGTGACATATTTTATCCACTAGAAGCCTATGGGTACAATGTAATTGCTCTCTCACTCTCATCTGAATGACTAAGTGAAGGTCCAAATATTCATTTGAAAAGCATAATTACAATTCTATTTTAAAATCAGTTCACAATGTCCTACTTGAGGGATTTTAAAAAACTAGAATCATGTATTAATTATCTCTGCAACCTGAGAGGCTAGAGCGTGCCAAGGGCTCAAATAACCAATGAATGAAAGCATATACCTCCAGTAAAGTATGCCTAGTGGATTTCTGCACGAATCTGCATAATTTTGTGCATAAGATATATACTTCAATTTTGGTGAAGTCTTGCATTTTTCTAACCTTTGTTGAGATTTATACATCTTAATTTGGTTACATCATTTAAAAATATGACTCATATTTCTGCTATAACATTTAACAGTTTTCATAGGAACAATGTAACCTATTTTAAAGATATTAAAATATTTTCTCTGGCTTAGAAAACACACACATATTGACCTCACTCAGAAGCCAGTGTAGGACCTTCTAATTTTACAGTCAAACTTCTGTCCTAACAAAAGATATATCAATATCCTAAATATGTATCAAATAGTTGTTGGTGAAATTCACTTTAGTGGATTACTGTAGTTAGCATTCTGGACTGTTCTGCAGCACTCTGCTTTAGTGAAGAATTAGTCGAGGATCTCTAAAGGACCATGTTAATTTATAATAAAAGCACAATGAAGATTCATGAACTATATAACTAGAAAACAAAAAAAGGATCAGATGTATATTTTTGTGTGTGCCTATGTTACAAATAATCTAAAAATAGGGCATAAAAAATAAAACATGCAATAATATTGTGCTTGGAAGAATACATTTAGTGATTTCTAATTCTTGAAATGGAAATTTTGACTATTATCTCTGTAAGAAGAGAAAGCTACTTACACTTCTTTGATAAGCCCTCTTGAGACTGTTTGGAAGGTGCTGACGTTTATCAATCAGCTGAGATGTGTTTGGACACAGGAAATTGTATTATCTTTTGGGGTAAATAAATGGTAATATTGGGAGACCCTCTATCACATGCTAACTTCTGTTATTTGTCAGCAAGGCAGTGCCTGCTAAAAAATGTTCTCAGACAGGCCCTGGTAACTTTGAAAACTGTCACATCAATTTTCATTTCATTTATTTTCAAATATACATCATGACACTGTCAAGAAAGGAAGAAGCTCCTGATTCTAACTAAATGTTAGTGCACATCAAAAGAAAGCATGGTCCTGTTTTCTGCCCTTTCCCCTAGGCTCCTGCCCACCTGAGATAAATCCTTTGTACTTTAATATTGCAAGAATATCCTTTACATTTGACAACTTCTTCTTCGGGAGTTGTCTCAGAGTTAGTTTATTCAAACTGAAAAACCACAAATAAACCATTTCTGGGTGCTATTTGATCCATGTCATCACCACTCAAGAAGGATTTACATAATTAAAATTAAAGCCAATTGATTTTTAATGCCATACAAGATAAAATAAGCCCATTACAGGATGTTTCTTCTACTGATTATAACTAAAAACTCTGGGAGGAATAAAACCTCAACTACCTGAGGACTATGCAAAGTAGAAAGATTGAGGAAAGAATCAAAATGTGAGAAATACTACCATAAGTATGAGTTTCTTGATTATTTTTCTTTTTCCTCTTGTCATCCTTAAAGTAGTATGCATGTACACACACACACACACACACACACACACACACACACACACAGACACAGACACAGACACACAGAGATGTTTCTGGCCTCACAGAGTGAATATTGTTAAGATGTCCGTACCTCATAAATTGACCTACAGATGAAATGCTATTTCATTTCATCTCAAATGCTATTCATTTCATTTCCAATCCTCCCTATCACAATTTTTTTTAGATGTTGACAAGGTGATTCCAAAAATTTATATAGGAAAAAAAAAAGGAAGACAATAGCCAAAACAATTTTGAAAAGGAAAAACAAAGCTGGAAAAGTCACACAATCTGATTTCAAGACTTACTAATACTACCACAGTGTGGTAGTATTTCAAGACTTACTATACTGATTTTAAGACTTACTAACACTACCACAGTGTGGTTGTATTGATAGAAACAGAAGGTCTAAAATAGAAGAGTTTAAAAATACACCCATGAACCAATATGTTCAATTGATTTCTGACAGAGGTACAAAGGCAGTAGACAGGATAAAGCATAATGTCATTATATAACAAATGGTTGCATTCAAATGGAACATTAATATACAAGTAGATAAGTGGATATGTAGATTAAAACATTTGACTCATACTTCACATTGTATATAAAATTTAATTCCAGATGTGTCATCGACTTAAGTGTAAAATGTAATACTATAACACCTTAAGAGAAAAACAGAAGACATTCTTTGACTTTGGATTCAGCAAAGACTTCTTAGATACAAACCTGAAAGTATAATCAAGAAAACAAAAATATGATAAATTGGACCTCAACAGAATTCAAAATTTTTTTCTTTAGAAAAGACACTATTAAGGAAGTGAAAATAAAAACTACAGGCTGGTAGAACATATTTGCAAATCACGTAACTGGCAAACAACTAATATTCATAATTTATAAGCATATAAAAATTCAAGAAATCCAATAAAAATAGGCAAAAGATGTGAACATACACTTAACCAAACATACACAGATAGTGAATAAGCATGTAAAATGATGTTCAACATCATTAGTCATTATGGAAAACAAATTTAAAAAATGAGATCCTCCCACATGCTCATTAAAAAAGTGCAAATAAAAATATCAAAAAACAACTGAGAATTCCGAGTGCTGGTGAGAAAGTACACCCAAACTCTCATACATTGCAAGTGGAAATACAAAACTATCGGTCACGTGGGAAGCAGTTTGACAACTTCTTATAATGTTAACACACATTTGATGAACCTAGCAATCCCACTCCTGTCTACAAATGTTTATAGCAGTTTCATTTTAATTATAAGTGGAAGCCATCTGAATGCTTTTCAGCAGATAAAGGGATAGACTTGTATCCCTTTGCACTGCATCCCTGAAACAGAATACTACTCAGCAATAAAAAGGAACCAACTTATTGATATAAGCAATATCATTAATGTTTTCAAATACAGAAAGCTAAGTGAAATAAGCCAGATTCAAAAGGATACATATTGTATCATTCCATTTGTATGACATGAAAAAGGTAAAACTACAGGAATGAAGAACAGAGGGACAGTCCCCTGGGCTTCAAGGTTGGAATGCAGTTGACCCCCAAGGGTAAGCATGAGAGAATGATTTT